ACACTTCAAGTAACACACACACACACACACACACCCTCCCCCCGGTAGGCCTTTCTTCTTCGTTCTCCATTTGCTGCCAGAAGGGCTTTTCCCCCTGGTCCTTCGCAAGTCCTCAAAAGGGCTTTTTCCTTGACCTTCACTAGCCGCCAAAAGGGCTTTTTTTCTCACCCCACTGGGCATTCTTTTCTCGTCCTCCACTAGCCCCCAGAAGGGCTTTTCCCCCGTCCTCCACTAGCCCCCAGAGGGGCTTTGTCCCAGGTCTTCCACCAGACCTCAGAAGGGCTTTGTCCCAGGTCCTCCACTAGCCCATAGAAGGGCTTTTTCCTCATCCTCCTTTAGACCCCAGAAGAGCTGTGTCCCAGATCCTCCACTAGCCCTTACAAGGGCTTTTTCCTCGTCCTCCAGCCACCAGAAGTGCATTCTTCCTCGCCCGCCTCTAACCCTTAGAAGGGCTTTCTCCCTGGTTCTCCACTAGCCCCCACAAGGGCTTCCTTTCCCAGATCCTCCACTAGCCCTCAAAGAGACTTTTTTATACTTGTCCTCCACTCGCCCTTAGAAGGGCTTTATCCCAGGTCCTCCTATAGCCCTTATAAGGGCTTTTTCCTCGTCCTCCTCTAGCCCGCTCCCAGGTCCTCCACTAGCCCTTAGAAGGGCTTTTTCCTCATCCACCTCTAACCCTCAGAAGGGCTTTGTCCCTGGTCCTTCAATAGCCCTTAGAAGGGCTTTTTCTTCATCCTCCTCTAACTCTTAGAAGGGCATTCTTCCTCGTCCTCCATTAGCCCTTACAAGGGCTTTTTCCTCGTCCTCCAGCCCCCAGAAGTGCATTCTTCCTCTTCCGCCTCAAACCCTTAGAAGGGCTTTCTCCCAGGTTCTCCCCTAGCCCCCAAAAGGGCTTTGTCCAAGCTCCTCCGATAGCCCCCCACAAGGGATTCCTTTCCTCGTCCTCCTCTAGCCCTTAGAAGGGCTTTCTCCCAGGTCCTCCACTAGCCCTTAGAAGGGCTTTTTCCTCGTCCTCCTCTAGCCCCCAGAAGGTCCTTTGCCCAGGTCTTTAACCCCTTTCCACCCCGCTTAAAACCTCTTAGTACATCTTACTTACCTCTTTTTCTTGCTTTCCACGCAAGCTGCAGATTCACTGAGGGTCCCGGATGGGACGTTGACCCCCGAGACGGCGAAAAACGAGATGTTTATATAACAACTTTAAGCGGACTTCCGAGAAAGAAAATTTCACGCGCAAGTTTTGAACTTGGTGAATATTCTGCTCAGATTTGCACCATCTAGGGCTACTAATGAACAGGGCTACTAATGAACAAAACAAATGCGCGAACATTTCAAAATGGACACGAATAGGAGCAATGAATCTATGGCTGGACCACGAGACTAATCGCTACCTCAGAATTACAAAGTTCTATCAGCTCAATACCTAGTTTTGAGAAATTTGACGTCAATAATAATATGTCAAGCTTTTTCAAACGCAGTTCTTGCAATATCTTGATAACGACTCCGAATATTTTAATGATTTTGAAAGAGCTGATAGAAGAACATTTGGTTTCTCATGGTCTTGTAACTTAAAACGGCCAAATATGTCAAATAAAACCTAGACTAGTAATTCTGAGGTAGATCAAGCGAAATATAGAAAGCCAATTTTTCTCAGAGAAAAAAATCAATAGCCTAGTGGGCAATTACGTAACCGCCATTGTGGATAGCTATAAAGATCATCAATGTCATCACCAGGAACCAGATCTGTAGCAAATATTTAATATCGACGATCAAGGTACTCCATTATTCCTTTGCACTGATGCTCTCTTAAAAGCTGCATTATCCCGACCTTTCCCTGTTACTGTTTCTCGTCTGCTTCTAATTAGCCTTTCCGAGTTGGTTGCTCTCAGTCTCTTACCATGCCTCGTTTGCCCTCAAGTTGCTGTCTAGTCACAGAAAGAATACGAACTGTGGCGTCGGTGGCCTAGTGGTTAGGCTCTCGGACTCGCAACCGAAAGGTCGTGGGTTTGAATCCCGTCAGGGGCCCGACGTTGTGTCCTTGGGAAAGGCACTTTACACGAATTTTCCTCACTTCACCCAGGTGGGAATGGGTACCCGGTTATAGACAGCGAAATATCTTTTCAGTTTGTTAGTGTTTGAGTTTGAGCGCTTAATCAGCTGCTTGCACTGTATGCTTCCTGGGAAGCTGAGAGTGTTTCGGAGAGTTCTATGGTCTGCTGGGGTAATAATATAGTGTAAAGCGCATATAGCCAGCTGTTGAGCGGGGACATGCGTAATACAAATGCTATTCATTATTATTATTATTATTATTATTATTATTATTATGATTATTAATAGAATAATTGCACTTACACATCTCTGTCCACTGTCCACACAGTTAAGACAAGTGGCGTCGGTGGCCCAGTGGTTAGACTACCTGGACGGACAAATTTTCTTCTCTTAAATTGTCTCCTTTCACCTCCTTTTCTGCTCTCTTGCAATGTTCTGTCGTCAGCTTTCGTCTTCTTTTTCTGCCCCCACCCTTTCACATCCGTTGCACCCTTCTCTGGGCTCCTGACTCTTTCTACAGCCTTTTTACTGCTGCTCCTTAGCTCCTTCTTACTGCTGTCTTTCAGCCACACCCTTGATCTTCTGGTAGGAAAGATCTACACCTAGCCTTCTCGGACAGATGCAAAAAATCTCGGAGGTCCTGTGTGCGCCCCATTTCCTCCTTTTTTCCCATCACCGAATACAACAGTTCTTTAGACAACAAAGACAAGACTCAGACTTTTAAAATAAGATGTAAGATCACTATTTTTCACCCAATGTATTTTTTTTCTCCTCAGGGTTTCACTCCTCAGTTATCTGTTGCACCGTCCTTCTCGTTTTCAAATCTCAACCTTTTTTCGACAAAATGGTTGCCAGAAGTAGGGAACAACGAAATTGGTGACCCTCAACCCTTCCACCTTTGTCGTCTGTTTCTTGCTTACCTAAGTACTATTACTTGCCAGGGTCAGATAAACCCTATCTGTACGCCCTGGAATCATTTTGTACACCCCGGGGTTGTATTCGTTTTATTTTAGAATACTTCTTGTACGAAGATCTCTTTGACACTCTCAGTATTTCTTAAAAAATCATTTTGACAGACTGCTATGCAAAGAGTACAGATCGGATTAACGAGTAAATTTCCTCTTTGGAAAGTGGTGGCACAGAGTTCCCCACGTCGTTTGGATACGATTAGTAAAACACGACGTACGGATAGGGTTAAGAGGAGAGCCCAAAGGGCATAGGTTCTTGGCTACCCACCAAGAAGGAGCCTCTCACCAACATTATAGATCTAGTATCTAGTAGCATCGGGTCAGGTATGCAGCGTAAATTGGACTTCAGTGGCATCACTAGCGACTTTGCAGCACAAAAATCGTGAAAGGTGTCAGGACTGTAATGACTATAACTCCATCCATTCTCGGATTTGAACTATATTATTTATTTGTTAGTTATACTAGATCTATACTTTTTCATGGAGATTTAAATAGTTTTAACTGAATTTCTCTGTGTAAATAAATTTGGAAAAAACAACTTGTGTTCATTTAATTATTTTCATTTCGTGTTTATTCATTACATAATATACTTTTATTATACCATTGGTAGAATAGGCCTCGTTCAGCATTTTCTAACCAAAAGTCTCCTATTCATATATACCAAGATTTAGGTTATTAGTCTGTGGTGTATACAACAGGGGGAGTTGGAAAGGGGATCTCACTTTTCAGTTGACCCCAGCCACCACCCAAACCCAACATGATTAATTCAGCCATGTTTCTCACTATGGCTCTTGTGCCAGGAATTGAATTAAGAGATTTATAATTTAGGCTCTCGGACTCGAAACCTTGATGTCGAGGGTTCAAATCCTGCCAGAGGTCTGCCGTTGTGTTCTTGTGAAACGCACTTTAGATTACATGATTGGGGCTCTCGTGGTGGAGAAGTTACGGGGTTCGCCTCTCATTCAATAGATCCCGGGTTCGAATCCTGATAGCGACGGAAATTTTTCTATTCTATAACTGCCTCCTTTCACCTCCGTTCCTGCTCTCTAACAACGTTCAGTCATCTGCTTTCGTCTCCACTTTTAGCCCCCACCCCTCACCTCATTTGCCACTTCCTCTGGGCTCCTGGCTCTTTCTGCTGCCTTTCTACTGCTTTTCCTTGGCTACTTCTTACTGCTGTCTTTCATCCACATCCCTGGTCTTACGGTAAGTCAGATCTACCACCGAGCCTTCTCGGATAATGGCAAAAATTCTCAGAGGTCCCGTGTGCAGGTTGCGCACGTTAAAGTGAAGTACCTCTTCGTGGTCCTAAAATCGATAAGAGTAAACTTTGACCGTCACACGGGCAAAATTAAAAATTAATTCCTACCAAAACGAAAAATGTTTAATGAGTCCCACGTGCTCATTTGAACTTAATATGCTGTTGCGAGCGCCGTAAAACACTTACAAAAGACCCAAAAATAAACAAACAAACAAAAACAAAACCCAACTGCAATATCACAGAGTAATAATGCGAGGAGACAATTTTGTAATAGTTGTTCTAATCCTTCAAGACAATTAATTATTGTAGGCTACTTCCCTTCACGACAAGTTCGATCGAGACAGCGAGAGCGTACTTTATCCATAGATCAGTCATGGGTAGCAGAAGAAGAGACACGCCCATTAAAAAAGATGGATAGAGTTAGGGGGGAGGGGGTAAGAGAAACATTAGACAAAAACAATCAACTCCCTTTACCTTGTCCATATTTTCCTAGGTCTGCCACTTCCTTTGTATCAATCTGATCTCCGGATAATAATATGTAGTAGGACGTTTGTCTCACTAACAACGCGCGCGCGCGCGCGAGAGAGAGAGAGAGAGAGAGAGAGAGAGAGAGAGAGAGAGAGAGAGAGAGGGAGGGAGAGAGACAGACTCGTTTCTTCCGTCTTCAAAATTTATTTGGACATATCATTTCAAGCGTTTCTCAATCGTCCCCAGTTATGCGTCACATTTCAGACATTAGACAGACATCAATATTATGAAGAATAATATTCAAAAACAAAAGTAAGAATATACAGGGGCACTAAAAATTAAAGTAACTTAACAGTTATGAAAAAGGGAAATATTACTGTCGTCTTAAAAAAAGACTTTAAAAAAGGGGAAAAGGAAAACGAATATTCATTATTTACTGTATACATTTTTATTTCAAAAATGAATATAGCATAAATATTATAAACGTGATAGCAAGGACAGCCGTATTCACTCAGATACTCAGACTATTTGAAATTGCCATCGATTTTCACGCTCTCTTCTAAATATTGACTAATGAAAGTAAGTACAAGATCTATAATGATAATATCATGTGTTCTGTCGTATGAACGTTTCATTGTGGGAAGTTGGGGATCTGTCTGATAGATCCAGGCCCCGGTTCTTTTCTTTTCCCTTTTTGCGTCTGTCTGTCTGTCTGTCTGTCTGTCTGTCTGTCTGTCTGTCTGTCTATCTGTCTGTCTGTCTACCTGTCCGTCCGTCTGTCTGTCTGTCTGTCTGTTTGTTTGTTTTGTTTTAATAAGTTTTAATGGTGTTCGCAATTGCATAAAGTCACACGAGCGCCAAGGGCTGGATGTCAACAGAGAAGTCCAAAAACGGGGAATCAGGCTTACTCTGCTCATCACTCTAGCCTCAACAGCACAAAGTCTGCTTCGACTATCAAGGCATCCCGGAAATAAGAGTTCACAAGAGAGTGACAAGCAAACTAAAGAAGTAGAGGGAAAATGACAATAGTAAGGCTGAGGAAAAAAAAACCCCCAGCAGCATGAGCATGACATTGATAAATCAGCCCATTTACAATTCTACTATGCGTAGGAACATGTTAATATTCCCAATTTTTCTCCAAGTATCATAGTTCATACTTATATACCGTCTTGTAGTCAACCATGAACCGAGCGTACTGTTCTTCGAAATGCTCGTTCATCGCCACTGTGAACCAATTTTTCCAGTCTCCGATGATACCTAAAAGTGTAGGCACAAAGAAAAAAAAAGTCAATTTACCATGGGGAAGAAGGGTTAGTGGAACAACGGGATAAGCAGCAGTTTTGTCAAATTAAAGGCTGCACCCCCATTAAAAAGTATTTAAGATAATATTAGGACTAACCAAAACGATGACACGCTTACCTATTTACAACCCACTTACCTATTTCAACCTTTTTACCCTTAAATTCTTCAAATATTAAACCCCACTTTTGTAAGCTTCCCGGAATCCAATATATTTCTGAGTGTCAAAAAGTCTGTTGTTGTTTTAGTAGTGGTTTTACGGCACTCGAAACTGCATAAGGTCATATGAGCGCAACCCTAAAGTCTGCTTGGGTTAATCAATAATAGTAGTCGTAATGAACAAACAGCATGCTATAGAGCGTGGATATGCGGCGCATTACTCTCATTCGCTACCCTAGAATTACATGATTGTACAAGGTTTAATCCCTAGAATTACATGTACAAGGTTTAATCTTCTCAGTACCGATTTTTTTAGAAATCTGACGTAAAAATGTTGAGTTTCTCAAGGTGTCAAGATTTTTTCGAATGCACTTCTTTATATATCTTGATAATATGGACTCCGAATAATCTTACAATTTAGTGCGAGCATATAGAGCATTGGTTTCAGACCTCACCTCCTAGTCTTAATGATTTAAAACGGCCAACAATATCAGACAGGACTTTGTAATTTTAAGGTAGCGAATTATTATTTTATTGTAGCCCAAAGAGGTTTGTTCGTTTGTTTGTTTAGTATAGGGTTTTACGGCGCTCGCAACTGCATAAGGTCATATGAGCGCGTGGGACACACCTAATACTTTTTCGTTGGTAGGAAATTTTGAATTTTGCCCGGGTGGCGGCCGAAGCCTACTCTTATCGATTTTAGACCACCAAGGGATCTTTAACGTGCGCAACTTGCACACGGGCCCTCCGAGATTTTTCGCCCTTGTCAGAGAAGGCTAGGTGTAGATCTTTCCTACCAGAAGATCAGGGGTGTGGCAGAAAGACAGCAGTTAGGAGGAGCCAAGGAGTAGCAGTAGAAAGGCTGCAGAAAGAGTCAGGAGCCCAGAGGAGGGGGCAAAGGAGGTGAGGGGGTGGGGACAGAAAGTGGAAATGAAAGCAGACAACAGAACATTGTTAGAGATCAGGAAAGGATGTGAAAGGAGACAATTTTAGAAAAGAAACAATTTTTGGTCGCTACCCGGAATCGAACCCGGGACCTTTGAATGAGAGGCCAACACCTTAACCTCTAGGCCACGAGAGCCCCCCAAAGATGTTTAAAATAGTACTATTTATATACAAAAAAATAAAAAGTTATATTGATATTTCATTTATGTAAATAGTTTTGTTTATATCTTCTTTGTCGAAGTCAAATTACAGTTTTTAAAAATTCATCTTCGCGCGCCTAAGATGCTAACAGAAAATTGGTCGCTTTTAAGCTCAAGGGCTATCCCGAAAAATGCTGTTTTAAGAAAATCGACCGTAAAGTTTTGCCCCTTGTTCAGTTTCTTCAAAATACAAGGAGAGTTTTGTCTATAACCAAACATATATACACACACCAATGAAACCAAACTTCTCCTATAGGTAGAGCAATGCCCACTTTTGGTGTAGGTCAAGGTTTCTGGAAACCCCTGAAATCTGTTAGACCGCTTGTCCTTAAAAGCAACCAATTTATACTTACTTATATTTCATTTAGGTAAATAGTTTTATTTATAACCTCTTTGTCGAAGTCAAATTACGAGTTAAAACACAATTTCATCCTCGTCCGTCAAAGATGCTAACAAAAAAACTTAAAAAGTAAAATTTTAAAGTTGAACTGACCTTTCCTGTAGAAGGTCGGGGCTCCCTTCTTGAACGCGGCCTTGATGTACTCCGGCATCAGAGCGTCCTTGACTGGCCGTAGCTTCTGGATCCCGCACGCCTCGGCTATTTCCTCACACAGCGTATCGCTACACCCTGTGCCCAGGTACTGGTTCAGATTTTTCACACCCTGTACCGGATCCTGGGCAAAAAAAAAAAAAAAATGGGTGAGGAGACCGACAGAATGATTTAATGGGGATGTACCACGACACGGTAGGTGGAATCAGACGCTCGTCAGTTTTTAGGCAAATGGTGTTTTTGGTATCATCTTTTAAAGCTTGTTCATTTGTCTTGCTTCTGATATTTTTAAAGAAAAGATACTCATCTATCTTGAGTAGAAGTAGAGATATTAAAATTTGGAAGCGAAGAAGGTGGGGATTGCCTTTTTTGATTTTAAAAGTTTGTTGATTTGTCATGTTTTCGATTTTGAAAATCCCATTTGTCTTGAACAGAAGTCGCCTGGAGTCAGAGGTAAAATTAGTGGGGGAGAAATGTCCGCAAACGTTTGGGGATTTCCAAAGTTTTATAATTGTCTTTGAAAATATATACATGTATTGCAAATGTACATTTTTTCTGCCTCTGTTCAACATTTTTAGTAAAAATCCACCCTCCACAGGAATGCATTTTTGAATGTACATTAAAAGTTTTGAGACCAAAACAAATAAAACTGATAGAAATTGGAAACTGCCCTAACTTTATAGTTGGAAGACACGCTTTTTAATTAAATAACTTAATTGAATGCTCGCATGGCCTGGAGGTTAAGGTATTGACATCTCAATCAAAGGTTCCGGATTCGAATCCGGGAAGGAACCGAAAAATGTTCTTCTCTAAAATTGTCTCCTTTCACCTCCTTTCCTGTTCTCTAGCAACGTTCTGTTGTATGCTTTTATCGCCTCTTTCTGCCCGCACCCCTCACCTCCTTTGCCCCCTCCTCGGGGCTCCTGAATCTTTCTGCAGCATTTCTACTGCTACTCCTTGGTTCCTTTTTACTGTTGTCTTTCAGCCACACCCCTGATTTTATGGTAGAAAAGATCTACACCTAGCCTTCTTGGTAAAGGGCGAAAAATCTCGGACAAGGGCGAAAAATCTCGGGCGGCCTGTGTGCAATTTGCAAACGTTAAAGATCCCTTGGTGGTCTAAAATCGATAAGAATAGACTTCTGCCGTCACCTGGGCAAAATTCAAAATTTCCTACCAACTTAAAAAGTTCAATGTGTCCCGCTCGCTCATATGACCTTATGCCGTTGCGAGCGCCGTAAAACACTTACCAAAATAATAATAATAATAATAATAATAATAATAATAATAATAATAATAAGAAGAAGAAGAAGAAGAAGAAGAATAAAACAAACAAGACTTAATTACAGTTTATAGTGTTGAGAGGGGTGTCAGCATCCTGCCTTTTACTTCACATTTTACTTCCTCACCATCTTCATGTCTTCAAACATGGACGTGTAAATAGGAACGTCTGGGCAGGAGTCTATTCCCTCCTGGAACTCCTGCAAGTGGTTAAAGATGTGT